AAGCACGGGGCACCTCCACCTCAGATCTGCTACAAGTGTATTGACCGTGCGGCTGAACAAATCGGCGACAGTTCCATTGAGGGATCACTGGCTACTTTTGGTGACCCTTTGACTTCTGCTTTATTAGATTATGTGCAAAATGTGCATGTTCATACTCCTCGCCCCAGATAGTCCATCGTACTGGCCGGCCACCTGCTAACATTCCGGGCAGGCCGATCATCGAATATTTTACGTTCCGGAAGGCATGATACACGGTTACAGGGATTGAATTATTGAGGCGAGGGGCCGAGAGATGGCGGCTGACGTCGGCTGACGTCGCGTTTCTCCACGACTAAGACCTTAAGAAGACCCTGGAATGTGAGGAAGCGGTAGATCTCAGACCTAGGCCGATTACGCAACCCGCTCATCATCGTCATGAAACTCAGGAAAGGCTAGATCCAGGACCAGCAGTCAGCACCGGCGCTGGTTTTGGGGTGTATCACAGCTCGCGTTGTTTAGTAGATCATGGGGGGCGTCATACCGATTTGACTGGCAGTTAGCGGCTCTCGCTGCTCTACGGCTGCCGTGGAGTGGGTTCGAGGTTGGACTCCCTCAAAGACTTCTCGCCGATCCTCTCTAGTCCTCTCAGAGTAAGGTCCTCCGGTAGACATTCGTGATTCGAAAGAATCCCCTCGCTCCGAGGCTGGATCTGGTCTGTCGTTTCACCAGTGCGGACCTGGAGTGCGGACATGAATCAAATGACCAGCAGTTGACTCGAGGCGGTTACCACGGGCCACAGCACAACTCCCATAACACTTCAAACCATTGACCACCCCTTGCCATGAAGCGCACACTCTAACTTTAGGTCCGTCCGGTCTCCTGGTGGGGCAGGCTGTCAGAAACCTTGAGGCCCAGAATTCCGTCACGAGGTGACTTATGCACGTGTGTCTTTGCCTTCTAACCGAACGACGATGAATAGTTGGCGGGACACGGCTATGGTGGAGGTCCTTTATGCGCGTGGACCTACAAGGTGGAACCCAGCTGCAGTGGAGTCTCTCTCAGAAGATTCGACTCCTCTTGCTCAATTACACAGCCAAGGATTTCACAGCTTACGAGTTCTGTGTCTCTGTTATTCAAAACCTGCTGTCGGACATTCCTGGTCTGTCGACGACAACATAGAGCACCATATGCCAGGAGAGAAAACCATAGGTCCCCCGGCCGGACGAGGTGTTCCTAAAGAAATTCCGTACAGGGGACAAAAACCATTAGGACAAACGATGCTCGTTTGGATGGGGCTATATTTATAGTTTTTACGTCATACTCTTAACTATGGGGCCGTCGCTGTATGATTCACTTGTACTTTGCAAGACGTTGATGATTCCATACAGCCTTTCTTTTTTTACGGTAGTATTCAATTGGCGACCCATACAAAACAAAGGAAAGATGGAATAAAACACAGTTAGAAGGACAAAAACAATTGGAAAAAGGAAAACGCTCCCAAGGCAAAAGAAAAAACATAGAGAATCGCTCTACTGATTATTGGGTTATCTTTTCTCCTGATGAGAATCTCTCGTAACTGACGAGGAGTGGACTTCAGAAAGTTTCTTACTAAGAGATGACTTCTCCTAATGTGCAAATCTCGTGCATCCATGGTACTCGTGCCTGTATTCCTGATAAACATAAAACTTATGTCACAAAGAACTAGATTCTAATGTCATTCAGGAACTCGTAAGCAAGTTGCCTAGATTGATGTACGCTGAGTACTACGAATTTAGTGTGCATGAAGGACTTGAAAAAATAACACGATCCGGCCCTTAAACCTGGCCCGTCCAGTGAGAAAAGAAAGGAGAAACTTCCATTCGTCTTTCTATACTTGTGTGCAATACGCAATGATATGATAATTGGTCAATAGCTGCTTTGGGAGAATGAGAACTGTTTTTTCATTCGAGGAATATCTTCCAGATCGTAGAAAGGAAAAGGTCTACAATGATTCGTAGACGAGGACATTCTTGAGGAAATTGAACGAAGAGCAGACCAAGGATAAAGTGCAAATTCTGACCCTTTATCTGGTGAAATATGTGGTTCAGAAACCGGGCTTCTGGTTATACCTGAATGCCCGGGTCCAGTAGATGTGCCAGAAGTCCAGGTCTCACATCGAAACAATGACGACGATGCCTACGGGATGATCGATGACTGAATTTGAGGTATATACTTAGTTTATTGAACAGTCTAGGTGGGAGAGAGTGCGTATATACGCAGTCACAACCGTCAGTCAGGCAGTCTCCAGGTTAATCTGGTGACATTGTTATTCTGTTAGTTAGCAGAGCCCCGTAGAGACCTCGTTGAACTGTTTTGCCCCAAGCGAGTGAGACTCGGAGGCCAACGACCGTACACATAGTGGGCAAGCGAGTCTTCTGGGTCTTTGCAGGAAGACTTGGCAACTGATGTCAGAAACTTGTCAGAGCCCATCTTACTCTTACTCGGATCTTGGTATGACTCCGGCTCCTGTGGATATGGAGCCTCGAAGGTTGCAAACACAACTTTTGTTCAACCCCGCGTTTGAATCCAGTGCTTCGAGTTCTAGATATAGACAAAGCAATTATATCATAGTTTGAGTAGTCAAACTCCTAAACGACGAACAAGTGAACGGGCCTACCTCAACATAGCGCTGCTTACAAGGATCCAGGACTGACATTGGTGAGTAGAGAAGCAACCGAATGTCATGCTCCACAAGGAGGTCCCGATTCTTCTTTCTCGGGACGAAACGATCATTGCGCAGTCGGGAGGGTCAGGTGTGTGGTCTTGCGGGGAGACCTTAGCGTTCTTCGGACGGGACTTAGGCAATCAGGGCATGTCATACCAGCTGTATCCAAACTATTATTTCGCCTCCGGCCTAGACTTTTCGCCTTCTTCGTACAATCGTTGTTCCAAGATTTCTGGGGCATCTGCAGAGGCGAAAATCTAAAACCAAATCATTTAGGAATATTAGTCTGAAGAAGACTGTCCTGCGTAAGGTCATCAAGGATGAAAAGATACTACAGGTTGAGGGTACTCTCGAAGGGGTAATCATTTCACTGCTGCATTCGAGCAATTCACATGACCAATCGTGCTCACCTCTAATTACATGGCCTAGTATCATTCTTGTCCGAGCTGCCCACATCCGGTCTGACTGTACCACGGCAAGCCTAAACTGTCTAATACAATCTAATCGCAATTTACTTCAGAATATGGGTGTAGAGCCTCCTTCCGCTGGAGGTAAGAGGCGACTGCAAACAGAACTTAACCCTGACCCAATACATTTTGAGAAGTGGTTTATTTCTTGAACTAGAAGCCTTATGCACTCAAAACTTCACAAGCCGGGAAAAAGCATGCGTAAATAGATGAATTTGCAGGTCTTTGTGTTTCAGTTTCACACTGCTCAAGGCCATTTACAGGAAGGGTAGCAAATTTTTTGATAACATTTCAAGGTAGATGGCTGTAAGACGTATGCAGAATCAATTACCGTGATACTGATGGACATTAGTTTATCAATTATAAACAACACTTCTCAACCCGAGTAGCTCGAATGGGCTGGGAAGGAACTAACGAGGCAGATAATACTTCTGTGAAGTTAAGACAATTGGTCAGAATTTTCTCTATCTGATTACAAGATTTATGTTGTTCTTTGATAAAACCAACACACTGCACATGTGACTGGAGCCGCAAGGTAGCTTACCTTGGCATCTATCAACCATCAGCTTTCACAAAACACCACAGTGACAATCAATTCGAGAGTTGTAGACCACTTATCAAACAAAATTTCTCTCTATGGAAGATCAAAATTTCTCCAAAGATCACGACAAGGCTTACGAATTTGATAAGGTGACCAGACCGACGGTGGATATGGAAGAATATATCTATACGAACGATCCTACCTACGTGATATGATTCACATTGAAAATTGACACCAGTTTCGATGAATTGTTGTTCCTTACATATGATAACCGGTTAAGTTCATTCTCTTGAATGGCTGGATTCATATTCATCATTGACTAGACAGACTCAGCATTAGAAACGTGTTCGTTGTGCGACTGCTCATAATTAGGATCCTGAATTTCAGTTTTGAGGTCATGGCACAATATCCGTACTTGTTACACAAGTTCAAATTATGACCTGTCCTTTGACCCTCGCATTGTACAGGTGATGAACAATCCTTTCAAGAATTCAAGGATATGTCAATATCTACTACAATCACGATGGTACACCCTGTTTGGGCATTTAGATCTACCAGAATCAAATGAAAGCTGTTTCGTGCACAAAGATGAGTTCTCGACATAGGAGATGCATTCCATTTCAGGAGTGCAGCGATAGGCACGATTGAATATATCGTGAGACAAGCATGCCGTAGTCAGAAGGAGCTTAAAATCAATTTTGACCGAGTAATTTGGACCTATTTTGATTGCAGCCAAAGTCGTGTGAACTGCGTGTTGACTTTGCAGCGTCAGAAACTTTACCCACTCACGATTCACGATTTCCTATTTACGATTGTCTTTGACTAGCTCTGGCAAGCAGATAAAATTGGGTCATGCGTGATCATCAGTTCTTTCGGAAAGTGGGTTAGTGAAAAAATGTCGCGGCGTTGTATGTTCAAGTCAACGCTGTCAAGCCACCTTTCCCATCCGGGTCGGGACTGTTTGACCGTGAAGATATGTTCAAGTGGCGGCGTAAATGCATCGCGAACATTCCACCCCTATTCCATCAGTTCCTAGCACACCGACTATCCTAGTACCGACCTGTGCGAAGACCAAAGACTCTACCACAATCATCCTTCAACCAAGCACACGATTGTATCCAAGCTGATTGAGATCATTCGGTGAAGAATGCTATTTCTGCACGCGTCCACTCTCAGATTTCAATGCATTAGATATTTCTTTTCTCATTCAGATGAATACATCATCAGAGAAGCAAAAGTTCACCGCAAAAAAAGAAGGTCGCGTGTATTGAAAACACTTGGAGTGCATGCAGAGCCAGACACGATAACTGCACGTACAAATGTTGAGTTTTATTATAATATGCCCCTGGAATTTTGAGGATCGACATCAGAAATCCGTAAGATTCAAAGCCAGATAGATCTCGAGGCTTCAATCTATGACCAAAAATAATTGTCTCCGGGTAATGAAGTAGCCGCTCCTATGTACAAGAACCTCTCCGGAAACTCTCACACCGACTCTTCCGGACAAAAATTTCGTCTCAAGGATCATTCCAGCTCCGAAGATCGATGAATCTGTATTCACAACCTGATTGTGGACATGCAGAAACTGTACATCTATCTATCGTTCAAAGCTCTTCCGCAAGCTGATCTAACTGTGACCTTCACGGCTCAGAAGTATCTCTTCCTATTCACTAACAAGTTTCGTTTCTAGACTCGCTCTAAGTTACTGCTGCTTCGACAATTTGAACCGTCTAACGCAGACGGAGCCGGCTCACAGTCCAACACCATATGTCTGCTCGCTTTCCTGAGCAACTTCATTTGATGCATTTACTGATCATGGACTCCAATATCTCATCATGAATCAACCCAAACGGTTGATTCAGATTGAGATCACGTCGATCGCGATGCTGTGTCTTTCTTGGCAGCAGTGATCGGTAACCCATGGCTAGAGAGCGCACCTCGTAGAGCTTCTCCTAAGCTCGAACTGTTAGTTGCCGCCAGCTGGTTGTTAGGTTGAGAGCTCAGAATGGATGTAATAGCAGCAGCCAGCGCCGCAGTGAAATTCGGGTCAGAGGTGATGGCTGCTGTTGCGGCTGTGACACTGTCCGCCAGTAACTGCGGTCCTCGAGCAGTATTGCCACCTTGGAATTGAACCATAAGTGGATTTCCTGAATACATTTGAAAAGTGCCGGATGGAGGCTTCGCTGCCCCGTAATAAGAAGACTGAACTGGAGCCATCATGGAAGGCGCATGCATCTGTATACCATTTTGTGCCATGGAAAAAGTGTAAGGTTGCCGATTTCCGTTCGCAGCGTCAAGGTGCATTTGATTAGCAGCCGGATTGTTGGTCAGATCCAAAGTAATGGTTGGGAAGGGTGCTGAAGCAGATATGATCGGCATGGAGTGAGTTCCCAAGTTGAAGGAGTTGTCACTGCCCAATCCCTCTGCCCTGTCACTGCTTGAAGTGGATCCTAAAAGCAACATACCCGCTGCAGCAGAGGTGGTGGACGCCATAGCCACGGCAGCTGCTGGAAGCGGATGACTATGTGTGCCTTCGTATGTCGTGGTCAATATAGATCGATCTTCTGCACACCGCTGTACCTGCTTGCGCACGGGACATCCTGGGGCTACAGTACACCGGTAATAAGCCCGGGGACAAGGATTTCCCTTGGCCAGTTTCTGTCCATACTTGCGCCATTGACATCCATCGTTCATCTGCATTGAACATCGACCCCCTTAATGTCAGAAATTTTTCACACGGCACAATTTTCAGTATATACAAGTATTGTAGATATATATACGTCTGAATACAGAAGAAATTTGGGTGCCAAAAACCCAGTCATACCGTGGGTGCGTCTGTTCGAGTTCGTACTGATACACGGGCATTACGAACTGAAGTATCTTGTAAAACAGATTTCATCCGCTTGTTTGGAGGCCAACCATTCTGCTCTAACTGCTCCGCTACCGAAGGCTCGTCCTGTGATGCGGACTCCCGTGCTTCTGATGCAAATCCAAGCTCAGGAGATTCTGATGGGTTTGAGGCGTCAATTGCCTGAGACGAGGACTCTTCTTTGTATGCTCGGAACATGTTCACTGCAGCCTTGTCCGTATCCATAGGCATGACTGTGGGAAGTGCTTGCACAATGATTTTCTGATTGGTATCGTCTTCCAATTTTACTCTCAAGGGACTCGTTTGTTTGTCACCGTGCTTGGACCTTCCTGGCGATCTTGAAGACACCTGAGCGCTGCCAGTGGGTGTGGCGCTTCGGGACCGCTCACTTCCTGCTGAGTGGGAGGAATGCTCGGTGAAACTTCTCTGTGGACTCGCTCGTTGTCCATTGCCTTGCACAACTTCTACATTTAGTGCTGTCGCTAACGGAACCTGTGCATAGAAACCGGTGGATGAGATTTTCCACTCAAACATATTTTCTGAGCACATCTCATAACCAAACTGATCAGTCCATCCATGCTCTTGCTGGACAGAGCTAAACTCAACGTAGTAAGGGCGCAAACTTCTATACCTGACTGAGCTGCGAAAATTTCTCCGTTTTTCCTTGCTGCTGCTGCAGGGCAACAGTTGTAACCAATTGTTGGTAGAGAGCATTATACTCCGCAGTCATCAGCGAGAGAACCTTCCTCATCTGTTGGTTCTCATCTATCATGTGCTCCATTTCTGTTCGTGTTCTCTTCAACTGGACCCCAAGTGAACAAGATATCAATCAGACTGCACAATGAATCAACAGAAACTAGTGCACAAGAAGAATTTTATCAAGAAAATCTACGTTGCCGTTACCAGAACCACTTTGATACTGGATATGACATGATCTTGGATGAATTGCACTTGCTTAGCTTCCGGATTTTGTCTTGTGACTAGCAGAAAATTTGGCCTTCCGACATGGACTACGTGTTTGGGAATATCTAGCAGATTGAAGGAGAGAAGGGTACAACTAACCTGATTATGAAGGTCCGAATTACTTTGGGATGGTCGCTGGGGAGATAATGGAGGTGATCCATCTTCCACTGTTGGCCGATCGTTGGAGCCATTGCGAAGATTCATTGGATGCCGGCTCTGCATGCCGGAAGCGAGAAGATCAAAAATCATCTTCCAGTATGAGGACAGATTTGCGGAGTGATCGACATATCGAGATTGCAGAAGCCATCTCAAATCGAGGTGTTTTTACCTATCTACGTGTAGGAAAATTTGTGCTCAGGCTTGCTGGAGTATCTACATATCTATCTATTTGTGCTTGCTTCATGACAATGAAATAAGACTGATCAGGATGTGTCCTGTCATATATCAGGAATCGTGGTCTCCATATTCATGATTTTTACGCTTCCAATCAGTATTCTTACCTCATTTTCCAAGAACTGCTGTGTCGTCCTCGGAACGTCCGTCTCTCGCGTGTTTGTAGACAAGCTTACAAAATGAGATGCCACCGTTGCAGTGTTTGAAGCGTGGGATTGTGGGGGACTTCCAGAATCTACTGTGAGAGCCATCTCGCTGCTAATTTCAAATGGCAAAGCCACTGAGAGCTCAATCCGCTGGGAACGTAGCCGCTGACTACTGATCGCTTCTGTACTTCGAGACTCGTCGTTGTTCAAGCCCATAATCAGATTGACCGTCGCAATGATGGCTGACGAACTTTAATCGGGAAAGTAAAGCGAAATCTGTCTGAAATGTTCAGTCCGTTGTTCAGATCTTCCAAGCATGTAACAATGAATTTGGAGAACTGACCGAAATTTGGGATATGTGAAGCACAACGAAAAGGGAATCTGTATGAATTGAGGATCTGACTGAACTTCAGAAATTTTGACTCCACGAGACGTGTGAGTTACGATTTTGCCACAGACACGCGCACTAGCTGCTTATGGAGGTGGAAGACAGAGACGGAGGAGACCGGAACAACTGAATTCTTGCTGTCTCGCAATTGCTAATGGCTGCTTTCGTTGGCTGGTAAACAAATGTGTTGGATGGTGGGGAGGAGATGGATTGTTTGCAGCACAGGATGTAAAGTGAGTCGAGTATTCCAATGGGTGGGGTTTACATACCACGTCCTTGGAGTCTAAACAACTTTGGCCTGATCGGACCAGGCTTACTGGGAGCTCGTCAACGCGTTCTTTACGGATAAATCTGTAATAGAACCTGCTGAGGATCTGGTCAAGCAGTTGGAAGTCTTCCGCTGCAGATTCTCATGCCTCAGCATAACCCCTCATGAGTTCAATGAGTGGAACTAATGTATTACGGCCAGAATCCGCTAAGATCATGAGCACGTCGTGACCTGCAATCCAATAGTGCTGCCGACCTCCCATTATTTACCTTTAGGTGATTTTGGTAGTTACCTGTGGAAGTTGCCATGAATGTGGTATATTTTAGCAGAATTGTGCTCAGGGACCATTTTTGAATGCTAGCATTTTCTGATGCACCTTCACTACGCATATTTGGGATCCCGCCTTCAGAGGATGGTCCTACAGACTCTTACAAAAGTTGCTGGACTGAGCAGATTGACTTTCACCCACAAACTGGTATGCTCCCATTGGTCCAACATAGTCAAGATCTTGGAGAGGAGTCTCTTCCATGTTCTAAAGGGGTCAGGGATAGTTTACCCAGTTATTGCATAGCTTAGACAGACTTCTCCTGTTCAGGTTGCAAGATGACTTCACACCCCCCTTGAGATTCAAAGTCTACATGACGACCCCCCATCACAGGGGTCAACAGGGTAGAAGCTCCACGAACTGACCTTGCGTCGCTAAACGGAGGGAGCTATTCCGTATAAGGATTTTTTTAAGAACATAAATATCACAGATTGAAACTTTGCAATGTCACGTCAGGTCCCCGGTCAGCCTTTAGGAGGAGCTTAAGGAGGTTCTCTCGACATAAATATAATTACTCGATCATGTGCTAATGTGATGACATGCTTATAAAACCCCACAAGGCATGTTGTCAGGGTGTTCGGGATTTGATCATGGTGTAATCGGGCTAGGCTAAGACTGACTGTCGTCATTCAAACCGACTTCTACAGAACAAGTCATGCATCTAATGATCCATGCGGATGCAGGAGATGTCCACTGTCTCAGTGCTTTTGTAGCTAATTGCGTTAGATAATACGAATTCATGTGATTTGTTCCTGTTAGACTTTGAAACTCCGGGCTCTTGCAAATTTTGTTCATTAATGGCACCATGAACTCCTTCCCGAAACCTTAACAAATCACACCCACTGGAACGCCACCGACACACCTTCGCGTTTTACCGTGTCTACAAATCCATTTCCACGCCCTGGGGCTTTCCTTCGTGACGTTTAAAACTAGAGGGGGAACTGCTTACTATTGACTTCTGAGGGAGAAATTTACTTGATGGGACCCGATAAGAACGCTGAAGGCTTGATGGGACCCAATACCTTCCATTTTAACGGATCGGACCCTTCCCACGGGTCACCGTCAGATATGTTCTTGTAACTGCTTTGTTTCCACTTCAATGAAAAAAATAAATGATTCCCGAAATTAAGTTAGTCAGATTTTCCATGACTCCCAATCTTCATCATGAAAGAGCCCAAATTCTCACAACCTAGAATGATTTTACAGTTATAAAGTATCGGCCTAATCTACTTACTCGCTTTTTTTTCCTAAAACTCTTGGCCAAAGTCACGTAAGTTGATTATTTTAGTCCGGAGTGCCTGTCCGTAAAAGTCACTTTCCAACAATGAACCGCAGTGCTTTTCTTAACCCGGACTCAAAACAATTACAAGAACTCGTAGAACATCGGTGACGGGGTGATGAAATGCCGTGGAAATAGTAAAATGTAACGTATTGGGTCCCATCAAGTAATTCTCGTAAGTATGATTGTTTTACATCCTAACCTATGATTGTCTTACACATGTACTACAAAGTCCAAAGGTGGTACGAATTAGGGAGCCATCGTCGAAACTTCCGTATCCACGATCGTTACTAAGTTTCAACTTTTCACTTTTACTATTTTCACTTTTCCATATTTATGATATGATTTTGTGTAAATATGATCTCTCGAAGATCTTTCGTTAGGTGGCGATTTAGATGCTATCGAGATAAGAATCATTATATTTTCTAATAGCAAATTTAGAATCGAAAATATAAATATTTAAATAATATCGTGAGAACAAAGATATTCCAGATAGATAAGATTTCTAAATATTATATATACTATTCATCTGGAATGTATTCGTTTTCACGATATCATATAAATATTCATATTATCGATTCTATATCTGTTATAAAAAATATGATGATTTATATTTCGATAATATCAAAATTATTTTCGGGACTCTTACATAAATCCATAAAAGATTTATATAGTAATATCTCCTCGTGAAATGAAGAAAACCTCCCATGCCACTTATTGTCTGCTACACTAAAAACTTAGCGCCGTATCTTCTATGCACTTAAACGTCGTGCATATTCTCATACTACTCTGGCCAAGCAAAGACAATATAGTAGTTGTTCACAGTATTTCGATTCTGTCTTGCAATATTAAAAGTGGTGACATGGAGAGTATGTTATTTATAGGAGCTAATATTATAGCAAAAAGTATGGGAATACCCTCTCAAGGTGTCTTACATGCGCAATATGTCCTATTGCATCCTAGATATATACGGTATATAGCTAGGATGAGGTATATAATATACCTCAAACAGTGGTGAAAGGGAGAAACTGTTAGTAGACAAAGTGGCAATACTTGTGAGTGAACATATGGATCGGCCCCGCACTGTGAGACACGGTTATAGTTTCTCAATTGCTCTTTGAACCCTACACTTTGCTTTTATTCATCATTCGTCATCTTCTGTGAAAACTTCACCGAGTTGACGGATTCCTGGTAGATTCTTGACTTTCCAATTACAGTATTGAGCTAAATACTCTGTATTGATTTTGTACGTAGAGATAGCTTGAGTCAAACTCACATAGCACAAAAAGCTGCTCTAGAACGGTGGCGTTGAGTTGACGTGAATTGAAAATCCAACGACACTTGTGAGGGAAACTTTGTCAGGCAGAAGTACGGACCCGGGGAAAAACCTGTGAGAAGGCGGCTTTGAAAATATTTGTCAGATAGGAAGGAAGAATAACCTAGACATGTTTTAACCACCAAGGTAGGTCTTATACAGTTCGGGCTGCTAGTTGTCTAGTCTTTGCAAGACAGCGGAGTGTAGGAAAGTAGCTTCCGTCTGTCCGCTGGATATAATATGACTGACCAGCAACTATACAACGCACTGTTCAGTCAACTTTTTCAAAGGTTAAGTCAATAAATTTAACGACTTCCGCTAGTGCAAAGAACCAGTACCCACATTTTCCACATTTTCCACATTTTCGTATACTAGGTCGTCGAAAATTCTATGGTGCTATTTTTTACGATAATTAACAATTAGGCTAGTAGGCTTGTTTCACTTTTTTGACGTAATCTGTGTATTATGCTAGATGTTTTGCTGTTATCAAACACTTTCTCTGAGAATGTAAAGTAGGGAAAAAGGATGGGAATACCCCATCAAAACTTACATCTTTGAAACCGAAAGAAACTTTATGCTAAGTTTAGGTTTAGCCCATTTATTACGTAAGTCACCGACCGGGTTATAACACCAGAGTCCGGTAGCCTTGGCGGGTTCAAGAGCCTCTTGCTCGGAGCTGAGTGATCTGATCTGGGCTATGTATCGACTCCTCGTAAGCGGATCAGCAGCAAACTTTTTAAATCATTGTACATGAACGAAACAAATATGAAAGACTTTGCAGACAGGTGAACGGAATAACTTCGGGATAGCCTGAATAACATTCCAGCGAAGATTCTGTTAAGTGCACTCGCAATCTAAGAAATACCGTTTGGACCATTCAGCTTTCACCATATTAACGATCAAGCTTTTAACCTTTTCCGCAGGGGTTGTACGGGACAAGAAAAACTTTTCCTTGTCTCCAATGTTCCAAGAGAGGAAAGAGACTAGGCCTTATAAAGACCTGGTCTCGCTACCGTGAAGACTCGGGTCCTCCAGGTCTTTCTGAAGTCTTCTCCAGTGCACATACTTACATGTTCTACTCCACGACCAGCAATGGCTATTTCATCCCATTTACTTTACGTAAACAGGTTCATGGGCAGGACCGGCACCTATAAACTGGTACTTAGAAGCTATTCATAATCTCCGTGTCTGACATGATTTCCACGTTTTCCTTGCTCTTTCAGGAGAACCAAGGATAAGATCATAGGGGAATGTATGTCTGAAGGTTGCTTCTATATGACCCTCAGTTCTTCGGTTAATCCATCCTGCGAATACCGAAGAATGACAGTACTGAAGTACAAAGCAAGTTATTGAGACTCACCATACGTCCAGTGGTAAAAGATCATTCATTCGACCATAATCACAACGACTCTCATGCATCCATTGAATGGTGATTCTTTCCCTTGCTATCTTCAGTTTGAAGATTTTTTCATTGCTTCGGAGTCGGAATTATTTCTAATTTCCTTCATGCACATTCCACATTTGCTATCCAACAACGAACTTTAAATCGTTACCATATGAGACATACTTTGTACAAGCAAATACATACTTGCAAAATTCTTAACCGAACGATTTACCAAATTCCTCCCTTGAGAAAGCAATCCCTCGAGATGTCACTTGCAGGAGTTTTAGCCATCATGTCTTCCACTCAAATTCTCAACTTTTTTTGATGGGAGCAGCTAGTCAAATTATCACTCACCTTCCTATACTAGGTTGAGGTATAATTAACCAAGTTAGCCAAGTGGTCAGACAAGTTCTGATCGGGCCCTTGTCGATAACAATAGACTTGTAACCGAGTAATTATCATTATGTGAGAAGGAGTTCCAAGATTGTTGTCTTTGCATCTTGTAAGGCCCATGGAAACTCCGTCGCACGAGACCATATGGAAACAATATTATGCGTTAATCGTCAATCCAAACGGTGCCAACAAAAGTACGGGGGATTCATGGAAGAAGCTGCTCCCCAAATTAACAGTTTGCCTGGGCAACAATTGGAACATTTCGGAAAAACT